AGAGGGTAGCCCAATGACAGTACAAAGATGACCAGCTGGTCATCTTTGTACTGTCATTTTTTGTTTCTTTATTCTTCGTTTAAAAAAACGAAAAATAAATGTTAAATGTTAATGAATGTTATTTATTTTGTTATTATAAATTTCTGCAAAAATTGTTTTATATCTATTGTTCTTTTTATTATTTATTATTATTATTATATTATTATTATTATTATTATTATTATTATTTAATTAATTAATTATTTTTTCATTTAAAAAAATTAAGTTTTTCATGTTCTGGGATGTTCCGGGATGTTCCGGAATGTTCCATGTTCCGGATTTTATCGACGCCCATGCAGTGATCACATGCACGTACAAGGAACCGATTTGCACTCGCAAGGCGGACGTGAAGGTATGTGATTCACCCGGAACTGATTCCGCTAAATTCCGTCTAAGGAAGCAGAAAAATATACGTTTATACCAATTAGGATAAATCACCGACTTGTGTTGGCAGAGTAATCGTTATTCCTTTCATCTTCCTATAGGTAAGTTTGCGGAGAAAACTTACTGTTCGCTCTTCAATATTTTGTCTGAAATAATCACATGTCAAAGCGACTGATACAGTATGTTGCCCAGTGTCCGGACGGTACCAGTATCCCGACCCTTAAAACAAAAACTCAATTTTTGACGCGCCCTTTTCAGTTATCGGTAAACGAAGTACTTCGAATGAAAGCTGAATATTTCAGCTTTAAGATGAACGTTTTGGCGAGTTGAAAGCTTGCGAAACAGTCGCAGAAGACGCCGTTCTGTTCAGGTGAATAAACATTTCATGGCTAATATTTACGCTGTTCCCCGGGACGCTGTTTACCGGCGCAGTAATATTAGTGCTGCTCAGAAAAGGGTGGGTAATATGTAGTATTTTCAAAGAAACGGTTTTATATTTAAAGTGAAGATACTTAAAGCAGCCAGACTGGTCAGATTCTCAGTAAGTTTATTAATTCTTCTCCTCACCTGAATTAAGGAATGGGGCTATGTGAAAAATGGTTAAAAATAGGAAAAAAAATTCTAAAAATTTTGAACTGCTTTTTTGAGACTTTTCTTTTACATAGGCCGAAACAGTTTCGGAAGCTTAATATTCAGAGTAAGTCACGTGACTTGACCGTTGCTTACAACGATATTTTGGCGCCATTTTTGTCCTCTTGTTTTGGCGGATGTTTACGACAATTTATCCCTCATGAAATTCTGGGATAAACATTAGAGTATATTCTTTAGAAACTAAATAATAATAAATAATAATTGTAGCCATGAGAAGATCCCGTATTCCTCGGACTTAATATTGTACTAAGTGACCGACTTGTCCGCCATGTTTGAGCACACGGCTCAACGTCAGGGAGACTAAAACCGAGGATGCTGCCATAGCAACACGTTCATTTCCAAAATGGCGGACGATTTTGCAATATTATTGACTGTGTTGCATGAAATGTGTAAGTTTTTCATTCTAACATACGTTTTCTGTAAATTATATTTGCGATTTTATTGAATTAAAAGCATTTAGTTACAGTAGAGATGTTATTTTGTCCCTGTGTGTTTTACATTTTGTCTTAATAGTAAATAAGATGAGAGGTTTTTATTTCGATCCCTCTTTATTCGTTGTTATAAATCAATTCCGTTTTCCTCGAGAATGTGCGCCTAAATTTGAGTGCTTTGGCTCTAATAACAACGCTTGTCTCTAAATAAGATATCATGTTTCTATTCTAAATTATACTCGCAGAATTGGCGCGATTTTTAGATGTGCATGTTGGGTTCAATCGCAAGGTGTAGTTTCAGAAGTTCTTCATTGAAAATTATTTTCCACTGTTCTAAACCAACTTAAGTGCTTATAAATCGCCAGAATTCAAAAAATTACCATTGCTACAGAGAAAATCAGTTCCTAACAAGGAAAAAATTGGCTCAAAATCGTTGATGTAATGGCGGGATTCTTTAACTGTGGCTTCTCGCGTGTGGCAGCAAAGTACAGTATGTTGGACGAGAATGGAAAAGTTATTCGTGACAAAGGCATTCGTCTACAGAAGTTTTTGAGTACATTTTCAGACAATAAAGAGGCATTTGCTGTTACTCAGAATATTTTTGACAAGAGACTACCTGTGTTGCTGAAAAACTTTGATAAATGGCGGGGAGAAGACAAAGCAAAATACTTGACGCATTTTAGTCCTACAGCATGGAAGTCTCTTTGAGCAGCAAAGAGAGGATTGCACACAATATCTAACTGCAATGCATGTGCGGTTAATCATCTGCCTGTGCAGTCACTATTCCCGTTGAAGTCTAACCGACTTAAGGTGAACAACCCGATGTCTGCATGTGCAAAGGAAGTGACAAGCTTACAAAAGAAAACAACGAAAGTTGTAAAACCTAGTAAAGCAACAATTCAGGATACTACTAAGCAGATATATTTCAAAATAAACGAACCATTTAAGAGTCTCTACAACGTGAACCTCGCTGAAGCCTTAACAAAAGTACCTGAAATTGGTGTAACACAATCAAAAACTAAGGCGCAAAAACAAAAAGAAAGAAGGGAAACTTTAAGGTCCATCAAACGCAAAACAGAAGACCAGTGGTCTAAGGTTGACTGTGACACAATGCTGGGAACGCGGCAAGCATACAAGCAGAGGGATCTGCAAAGGAAATCTCTCTACTTTGAGTCCACTCATGAGGCAAGCGTTCGAACTTTGAAGAGAAAGGCACTTGAGGAGGCTGGTCTGCGCAAAAAGAAGCGTCATTCTCCTGATCCAGCATCAATTGACTTTGACAAGGAGGGCCTCCTGCAAGAAGTAAATTCAATGAAAGAAGGTGAAAAGGTGAGGATGTTAGTTGTGATAAGGCATAATCAACTGATTATTTTGTAGATAACTTTTAATCACTAGTTCTGCTTAAACAGAAAAACAAAAGCAGATGTCATTGTTTGATGAACATTTCATGCCACCATTTATTTTAATTAGAAATCTGAGGGATAAACAAGAATACTAAATCTTCAACATACTTTTCAGATTAATTATTCAGAACTGTCCAGGAAGTATGGAGCAGCAGAGAAAAGTAAGGTGGGAAATATGGTGGTGAAAGAGTTTCTTCAAACTAAAGGGGTGGATGTGGCAAAGTTTACAGGTCCAAGAAAAAATGCTCAGCCTGTGACAAGAAGACGCCTCAACCGAATGTTTGATGGTGAAATCACAACACCTGTCCCCCGTACTAATGCTGCCGTACGAGAAACCTTGAGGGCCAAGATTAGGGCTGGAGAATATCGCTTAGGAGAGATCATTGCACCAAAACGCTACAAGAAGTTAATGCTACAGCCTGACGGTACATGAAAAACAGAGTATTTCACAGTTAATGGAAGGAAGATACCTTTGCTTGAGATTCGTAAAGTGCTTTTGGAGGAGCATGAGAAGGAAGGTCTTGTCAGAGACCACTCAGATGCCCACTACAATTGCATGAGTGTGGATGACATAAAACGTCGCTTAAGGGAGCTTGGAGAGCTGAAAATAGATGGACTAAGGGAGGAGTTATTAAAGGTATTAAAGTTACATGAATGCACAAGACATCTCATGATCTGATCAGACCATTCCACCATTATTAACCATGGCCACCTTCTGCTAACTGTAAATGCAATCTATGATCCTGCATTCTACTACACTTCTAAAGAGCTCCATGGGAAGAAGTTCAGGAGTTAGTAGAGAAGCCTCACATTTACATCATGGCTAGATGTAGGGATACCATTGAAGATCAGCTTTTATACAGTGAAACTAGGCAGGAAGATATAAATGAGCTTGGAAGTCAACTTTTGTCCTCCCAAAAGCTCTCCATTAGGGACATTTGCAGGTTCTTTCATGGGGATCATCCTTCGCAAGAGGTAGAAAGTGGAGAGCAGATTGGTGGTGGCTTTGGGTGCTGTGGATGCACTGGGGCATCAGCCAGCTATATCGACCATGTGGGTTAAATGAGGGCACCGCAAATTACCCTTGAAGAAAGAAGGAGAAAGGTACTGGAAGGCCCAGCTGGAAAAGAAAGAAGAAATTGTGGAGTGCATCCTTTTAAAAACATGAGCAAAGAAGAGCTGATAAGAGAGTGCAAGGGGCGGCACTTATCGGTTGATGGTTTACTAAAACCTGCATTGCAATCTAACTTGAAAGAAGTACTGAGGGGCATACAGCGAGTTCCAGCACTTTGTTTCCCCCAACAAGAATGCTCCTTACAAGAGCTCAGCTTAGGAAACTATGAAGTGTTACCAGTAGAGCCTCTTCATGACCTCAAAGAGCATATCAACAACATATTTAAAGAACTACCCAAACACCTCAATGATGAAGAAAAAGTTCTATTTGATGAGACAATGGAGGCAGTACTTTCAACAAAAGAGAAGCTCCGAGGTTCAGATTACCGCCTTTGCTGTGTTGTACTGGCCTTGCACCTTGGAAAACACTGCCGCTTAACAATCAAAAGACTGCTGCACACTCTCGCAGAACTTTGTGAAATGTTGTATGCCCCAGCGGAGAAGCGCACACCAAGATTTATTTTGCGTTTGCATAATGTGACATTTTGTCATGTTATTGCAGTCCGTAAAGTCTTTAAAATCCCACAAGTGCTGACATACAGGAAGCTGTTTGGAATATACTACCACAGCATCACATGCCATGCTCCTCTTACATCTCGTATAATTTCTCTTAGCTTAGTAGACACTGAAGAAGAAGAAAGAGAATTCAGCACCATAAATTCCATCAGCAAATCAACCTCTAATTGTCATCCTGAGCACATTATTCCAAACAGTATAATAAGAGTTCAAGCAGAAAGAAGCTTCAGGTCTAAGAAGAGTGCCCTGACAGATCAACAGTCCAAGATTGGACAGTTTGCAAAGAACCTCCCAAACTTTCCTGACACCTCCATTCCTAATGAGCTCCTGGACAGTGAAATCTATCAGGCCCACCTAGAACAGATTAGCGATTTTCTTCTTTGTGGAAGGGGTGTTTGGTGGCATGCAGATGAGGAAAGCAAGGAAATCATATTTCACGATAGTAAAGAACAACCTGAATTTCGAGATGAAGGCCCTCCAGTTTCACCACTTTCGCTCCTCTTCTTTCCAGCGTGAAAGGGAATACCTCAAAGAGAAGTGGGTTGAATGCTTGACTCGAGCAGATTTTCATTTGCCAATCAGAAAGGTGAAAGTTTATGATCCGGATGGAAATTTCACATTCACAGAATTCTACAGAGTTTTCCTTGAAGAACCTTGGCCAGAAAGTGGAGGTGACCAAAGTGCAGACCAACTAATGGGCTGTACTGCAATGTGTGATAATGAAAATGGAAACATTCATGACAAAGCCGATGACTGGGTCAATGAAGAACAGCTAGAGACTGAACAAGTAATTTGCAAAGACCTCAGGTTAGATGGAGACGAGCTAGGTGAAGACATGAGTGAGCAGGAAATATGTACAGCAAATGAAATAAACTTACCAAATGATGAACAATCAAGTCCCACTCATTTAAGTGCTGTTTGCTGTTCAGGTGCTGGTAATCAAATATTGGAACCAAACCAGCCTACAATTCAAGAGAAAAGTAGTACAGCAAATGTTGACAGTGCAGTTGAGTATTTACAAACAAAACTTGCTCAGTCTGTTTCGAAAATATTAGGTTTGACTCCTGAAGTAAAGACCTTGGATAAGGCCAGAAAACTGCTCCACGAAAAGCAGAATAGCAGTTACCACCATGGAAAGTACAAAGATATTTTAGCCCTGGTCCAGACACAAGTATTGGCAGCTCATCAGAATGCTTCAAAAGAATTAGAGAAATGGGAGAGTGAATTTGCAGTAAACAATGGATTTCCACCAATGTATGAAGACTATAAAACTGAAGCAGCCATACAATCTGCTTACAAGAAGAGAAAACTGAGCAGGCAACTATTGAAACACTGGAAAATAACTGTACACCTCCAGTGAGCTTGAACTTCAAGCATAATAATTTGATTCTAAATGTATCAGAGCAGCTCCACAAATTTATAAATTTAATCA